TAAGCATTGGCACGGTACGGTATTTTCTTCAAAACAATTCATTCTTATTCTTTTCTATTGTATTACGGCATGTTCTCACTGCCGGCTACCGAATTTGATGCAATTAGATATTTCCAACGGTGTGAAATTCTGTCTTCGCCCAGATCGTATGCCAACAATCATATGATTTCGCTTTCACTCAACCAAAATCCTCGATGGCGCTGTGGAAAGGTAACGTCAGCAGCTGGTGTGGAAAGGCAACGGTCAGCAGTTGGTGTGGAAAGGCAACGGTCAGCAGTTGGTGTGGAGAGGCAACGTCAGCAGTTGGTGTGGAAAGGTAACGTCAGCAGCTGGTGTGGAAAGGCAACGGTCAGCAGTTGGTGTTGGCAGGCTTGAAAGATCGCGCCTCCCTTTTTTGACGTCGTGACGGTTTATCTATAGCTGGTCGCAACAATGGACTTCCATCGATTTTTGCAAGAAGGAATTGGAGATCAGCCAAAGCACCACCATTAAATCCAAAAATTATTTTCGCGAGATTTGTGTCGACTTTTTGTTTTCAAAAGATCAGCCACAGATTGGGGGCCCAAAAATAATAGTCGAAGTGGACGAATCCTTGTTTTCCAAGCGGAAAAACAACGTCTGACGAGTTTTGCCACAAGTCTGGACTTTCGGAGGAGTTTATCGCGAAACGAACCAGTCCTTTCTGACCGAACTCAACGATCGTTTAGCAAAGAGACTTCGCGAGATGATAATCCACCATATGGAACCCGGAACAACTATCTACAGTGACTGCTGGAAGGGTTATTCAATCAAACACCTTGAAGAAGTAGGATTCACGCACTCGACGGCCAACCACAAGTTCCATTTTCTCAATCCTGACGATCCATCCATTCATACGCAAACTATCGAACGACTCTGAGGATCGACAATAAACAAAAAGCATCGAGGAATGGCCAGACATTCTTTTCAAGTTATCTTGCCGAATCCATTGTGCGCCGAGAAGTTGGAGACGCACAATTCTTCGACTGGACGTTTCATCGGATCGCACTCACCTGGCTCCCAAAGAAAAATTGTTTACCGGGCTTTTTTGTAGGTTTATTCTTGCTTCAACTTTTTTTAAATCACAAAAATGTGGATGTATAACCAAGATGTGAGGTTAATCCCTAACAAAGCTTAATCCAACAAAAGTTTGCAATGATTGCAATGATATGATTGGATATGCAAATTTGGGGGAGGCTTATCCGAGTTGAGCCTATGTGGATTTATAACCGACAAGTCTTCAATATTCGAAATGTCGGAGTGTAGAAATGTGGCGGGAGACACTCGTAACGCTTAAACGGAAACGAAACTCATCTTAGCGATCACACATCAATCAGGATTAATCACTTCATACTCATACTTTTGAAAGTAAGTGAGAAAAGAAAATTGTGAAAAAATCTTCTAATGAGTACAGCGTACAAATAATGTGAAAATCCCTTGTTCTATGAGTTTTACAAGAGATTCCAATCAACCGATTCCCTTGGGATTTCTAGAACCTAAAGAGCAAAAACTTCGCAAAACTAGACAAGGCAAGTATTCATCTGATTGATTGTGCTTATTTTTCCAAACAATGGTTGAGATTCCGCTTCAGTTTTTTATCTATTTAATCTACGGAATTCCGTCGGCTACCCTCAACTTACTAGTCATTATTTGCATTTTGAGAGACAAGAAATTGTTTGCGATTTCATTTTATCAAGTCTACGTGTATGTGCTACTTGTGGTGAGTTGTAAATTGTAAATTTGTAAATTTGAAATGTTAAATGGCTAATGAAAAATTTTCATGACTCAAAATAGGCTAAATAGGCTTTTCTAGCTAGTCTCTGTCGCCATAAGCTATAATAAACTAGTCTCTGTCATCAAGATAGGTTTATTAAGTGAACACTACATAGAACTGGAGGCAGACCGTTGCTAGGACAAGGTTTCATTAGATTAGATTAGCTAAGGGTAGGCCAGAATCATAATATTAATTTATTTACACAAATTATAATATTTGTTTATGAAATAAACACTTCTAAACAGCAAAAAGTCAGGATCGGAAATGAAGGAAGTGCTCACAAAATACGCTTTCAAGGGTGGAGATGAAAAATTGATTACCGTATTTTCTCTAATAGTAGTGCACCCAAGCGAGCCGAGTCGGCGACTATTTACGGCTTCCAAAGTTTTCCCAGAAGCTCAACACTCTAATCCCCCACTAGATCTCATCGTCAGCTACATTTTCCGACCCCACATCAATAGGTTCTGATAAGCGGTTCTCGAGATTTCGAGGAATTTAGGCGACGCTCAGGATGCACTACTATTAGAGAAAATACGGTATAGATCATCAGAATCATCTAGAGATCATCTACAGGGTGGCAATTACCTGAACCAATATAATTTTAGTCTTAAAACCACCATTCGTTTTTAAATAAAAATTTTAAAGGAGTACTCGGGCCTAAGGAGAGTCAGTGTTAAATTGGGCACCTGTTTTTCACGTCGTCTTAAGTCTGATTTTCACTTTTTTTAAAAATTATTCTTTTAGAATATAATGTTTTCTATTAAAAAACAAAAAAAATATTGAAGATTGCTGTTAAATTTGAGAAAATACATGCAAAAGAAAAGAATGCAAGTGCTAAAATGCAATTGAATACTTACTTATATACTTTTCGCCCAAATACCCACGTTTCAGGCTGTAAAATGCGTTTTTTTTCTTCATTTCTCGATTGGAAACCTTGTTTTTCATATAGAAAATAGTTGTAGAGACGACTAAAACGCATTGAATAATATATGAATGACCGCGATTCTTGAAAGTCTACTTCTAGGCCGGAGTACCCCCTTAAGTAACAATTTAATCTTTAACATCCATAAAATTAAAAAATTCTTTTCTTTTCAAAAAGATTCATTTCTTTTCTTTTCCGTGTAAAGTGACAAGAAAAACAATAAAAAAAGATCAAAATATTGCGTGCGCCGCGTTAGAACTATTAGAAAGCATGGGTCACCCCATGTCCGGGTAATTGCTCGCCACCCTGCAAAATAGTAAACGCATTTAAAATCTAGTAAACACGAGTAGAAAAGAAACTTTTTAGAAAAAAGAAATTTGTTGCTAAGGTTTAAGGCAAGTTCGCCAGAAAGACGTTCGAGAAATCGGAATCAAAAAAAGTATGAGTCAGAGATTTTTGAGGAAGAGAAGAGAAAACATGATCAGCACTAGAGAAACGTGCAGAAAATCAATCAGAAAGAACTAGAAAATAGATTTATTGATAATAAATAAATAAAATAAACTGAATATTATATGATGCTTTGATTTCCAGTACCTAATTATCTATATCAACACGTATCCTGTGGTGAAACTCCGTGATATCCCCTCGATTGCCCAAATCTATGTGGGTATCGAGCAATGGTTTCCACCATTTCGTCTCATGTATTCATGGCAATACATTGCCTTTCATGCGCAACAATTAGTTTTAATAATGATGCATTTCAATCGATTCACAGCCATTCATTTTCCGATTTCACACGATTGGGTTAGTGAATTTCGAGTTTCGAGAACACTTTGGTCATTAAAAAAAGATCTGGAAACCATTTCATTCTTAGATCTGGAAACCATTTCATTTCCGCCATCATGATTTTTGTCTTCTGTTTTGGGATCAATTATGAAATCTTTTTACTAAACAATTACTTCGTTTTGATTAATGGCTTGGCAAGAACGAATCCGGATAATGCACTGGTTGTTTGAAATTAATGAAAAGAGTTTTGATCTTTGTTTTGTTTTGTCCTTTTGTTTGAACTGTTTTGTTCTTTGTTCACCCAGTCAAATATTAGTCTAAGACTCTAGGATAGTTGGATTACTGTGTTTTCTCGTAGATAATTTAACTTTTTGATAAAATGACATCAAAACTAACCTAATTCGCTTTCTACCAGTAAAATGGGCACAGTTTATCAAAAAAATGAAAACTATTTTGATTGATTTAGATGGCTTTATTGAATGATGATTTTTGTTTGAAATTGACTCATTACTGATCGGCCAACCCAAGATATATATCTTGGAATCTCGTTTAGATTCCTGTACTTTCTAATTGGGCGATGACGAATCTGAGTCATGTCTATCCATTGGTGTCACTGGCGCTAAATGTGGGCACAATTGCGAAATTGCTGTATTTGCGATGGTTTGCAAAGGAGTGAGTCTGTCTTGTGCGTCTTATATCTTATCTTATATGTTAGATCTTTCAGCTAGCTTGAAATTGAGATTCTTCAGAGCAAATTCTAGATCCTGCCTTTATAAATATCAGTAGATAAGTGAACAGCAGATAAGCAAACAAAGAAAACGTGAAGAAATTCAGTCCAAACCAAATAATGGTAATCCAGCTACAAATCTAAATAAAAGGCTCCCAAAATTTGAACGTGAACTATTGGGTTGGTGAATCGAAAACTGTCGGCTATTGTCATATGTGACAGTTTGAGCACTTTCTTCAAAAGAAACCCATTTTGGTGTCAATGGAAAAGTTGTAGAGAATCAAAAATCAAGCTTATATCCAAATTTTCAGAACGATTCAAAAACTGGTTTGCAAGAAATGCCAAATTTACGCATTTTCACAAAACTTGCAACAAAATTTGCATTTTAAGCGAAACTACTGAGTGTATCTTTTTGGAAATTTGGCTATAAGCCTAATTTTTGATTCTCTACAACTTTTCTATTGACACCAAAATGGGTTTCTTTTGAAGAAAGTGCTCAAACTGGGATCTCCAGTCTCCATCTCCAGTCCTCCATTTTTGATTCTCACACTTGTCTCACACACAAACCAAAATCCTACTACGAAAGAGGAATCCGCAAATTGCCTGTAAAATGGGCAGAAGTCGTCAATAATAATGGAGATTATTTCGAATGAATTCATGGTTTTATGTTGAATAAATTTTAGTTCAAAGTCCTGCAGTTTTCAATTCACCAACCCAATATTTTCAGGCAATACAAAAATCGATCAGGCCAATCGATCGAGTTCAGCTTGTTGATGATCTGTCTGGTCAGCCTTTTGGGACAATTCGGTCTCATGATTTATGCGGTAGGCGAGGAAAGAGAAAGACAAACTAAATGTTTCTTTCAGGATCACAAGGCAGAGATTCAAGCGAATATAGCAATGGCCACATTGATCGTAAGTCGAGAATAAAAATGGTAGTACCTTAGTGCAAAAATTGGTTGCAGCCGATAAAAAAAATTATATTTCTTTGTTAAAAAAATATTCAATTTTCAGTTGAATCTTGTCTCTGATTGCTCGACTCTTTGCGAGGCTTATATCGGATTGGCAGTGAATGGCACGTTGAGAAAAGCTCTTTTCTCAATGCTCTTTAAAAGAGCATCAGTTTCCCACCAAGAAATTCCCTAATTTATTCCAATTATTAGTCCAAATTATTCCAATTCTTTCAAAAGGCGGTCCAATTCCACCTCAGCTTCAAAAATAAAAAATTGATGTCACGTTGCCATTTTTAAACAGTGTTTTGTCTTTTAAACATTTTTAAACCGCTAATGTACTCATGAGTTTAAAAAAAATCGATTTCAAACCACTGTACAAGATACTAATGAATTTAATAACGAAGAGACAGTCATTTTCTGAAAAAAAGTTGTCCCGAGAGATTTCCTATTACCAAGAAAACAGAAATAGCTCTAAATGTAGACTTGTATGGGATCAATGCACACGAAATGTCGATATCCTTTCAAAAGGCGCCTCTCAACCTCATTTAATAGTAAACCCATTTAATAGTAAACCCATTCAATAGTAAACCCATTTAATAGTAAACCCATTTAATAGTAAACCCATTTAAAAGTAAACCCATTTAATAGTAAACCCATCTAATAGTAAACCCATTTAATAGTAAACCCATTTAAAAGTAAACCCATTTAATAGTAAACCCATCTAATAGTAAACCCATTTAATAGTAAACCCATTTAATAGTAAACCCAATTAATAGTAAACCCATTTAAAAGTAAACCCATTTAATAGTAAACCCATTCAATAGTAAACCCCTTTAATAGTAAACCCATCTAATAGTAAACCCATTTAAAAGTAAACCCATTTAATAGTAAACCCATTTAATAGTAAACCCAATTAATAGTAAACCCATTTAATAGTAAACCCATTTAATAGTAAACCCAATTAATAGTAAACCCATTCAATAGTAAACCCATTTAATAGTAAACCCATTCAATAGTAAACCCATTTAATAGTAAACCCAATTAATAGTAAACCCATTTAAAAGTAAACCCTAGGAATTTCAAAGATAAGAAAACCCTATCTTTTCTCTACGAAATACTTTTTGACCCAGACGGGAAAGCTTTTGTTTTCATACTTTTTCAAATGATCAAACTTAAGAAGTCAAAAATGGACTGGTGGAGAGTTGATCATTTAAAGATTTCCATTCAACAAACCTACTTTTGTGTTCAAATCAAAAACGTAGAGAATGTTTAATTGCGTCTACACTCAAATTTTCAAATCAATCTGTCTCCGAGAGAAAATAGGTGAAAATGAGAATAACCTGGAGTCACGTTCCTCAATCATTTATTAAAAAAACAAGAAGGAAAGCTTGGCGATCTCAACAATAGAAAACGACTTGATGTAGGCGGCTGACATCTTTTGGCGGCAGAAGTTGATCAGTTGATCATCGATTGGATTCGATCTCAATGCGACGATCAGAAGCAAACCACTCGAAGGATTGTTCTGGACAAGACAACAATGGAATTGACATGAGCAGGAGTCAATTTCAGTCAATAACAAAGTAAACCATAGGGTCAATGCACATGCTATGGCAAGCATTTTTAAATAGGCTTTCATCTAGAAAATGAATCATTTACAAATGTGCGGGACAAAATGAGCATAACTTTTTTATTACACTGTAGTGCTCTTGTTGTTGTTGATGTGCTCTTGTCTATTAAATATATGCATTTAGCTTATGCAGACAAAATGAAAATGGAAGAAGAGTTTATTCAGGAGGTATTTGATCTGTGAGAAATGCAGGGAAAATATTGTGTCAATGCATGTAAAATGGCATTTAATAACCTTGATTATTAGCGCCGTGGTTACGGTACTTTTTGCGCAAATCACATTATAGAATGGGCATTATCTGAAAGGAATACACTCTAAAAATGACAAGAGAAGATCGGGAATTGGATTCCGAAAGAAAACATGAAAGATTATTAGGTTTTAAACTATAATCTGTTAAAAACCTCGTAAATATTCCCTAATACATATCAGGATAGCACCAAGATAGATAAAATAATATTTAGCCTTTAGAAAGTTGTGACCGTTTTTGCGAATGGTAAAAAGGAGGCAAGAGAAAAGGAAACAAGTTGGGAGAAGGCTGAAAAGTGAGCAAAAATCTTGTAATTGTAATTGTAGAAGTATTAGGTACATGCATAAGAAATGCGGATTTCAACATTTTCATAAATTTAAAAATAGAAAACGATAGAAACCTGATATCGATGAATGTTACAAACTATTTGAAAGTTGTAAATCTCCTCTACAAATAGGCTAGAACGTGTTTCAATTGATCGAAGCATTGAAGAAATTTCGTGGGCGAAATGCGAGTGACCAAAAAAAGAATCGAGTCACTTTAGGGACAAGTTTAGTGTGGTCAAAATAGAGTTAGCTTCCCAAAATTGAAGATTTAAAAACAAAAAGGATAACTATATATGAATTCATTAAAAAAGTCTAACGGAAATGCATTTACAGAAATTTATCTAGAGCGTAAGTTCAAAACCCTCAAAATTGTCAAAAAACCAAAAAAAAACAAAGAAAAATTATTGTAAAAACAAAGTTTTCCCATGAAATGATCCCAAATCTTAATTATTTTGAATGATATTATTTTGAATGACATTTTAGGGCGGTCATTCTCCACTATATAATCAAAACCGAACTCTTGTGAAAGTGGGGTTTTCAAAAAGTGCTCTCTTTTGGTCCCTAAAGTGACTCGATTCCTTTTTTGGTCACTCGCATTTCGATCTCGAAATTTCTTCAAGGGCTCGATCAATTGAAACACTTTTGAGCCTATTTTGTAGAGGAGATTTACAACTTTCAAATAGTTTATAACATTCATCGATATCAGGTTTCTATCGTTGGAAATTTATGAAAATGTTGAAATGTTGAAATGTTGAAATCCGCATTTCTTATACATCTAATAGAAGAAAATGTTGTGAAAGTTTTTGAATTTTAAAAATTCAATGTCTCGTCCCATTCTCCTGAATTTTCGCCTCATAAAGCTGTGACATTTTTCGCACAAAATCCGTGGAAACCTTTCTTTTCGCAATGATCGAATACGAGTTTTTCCTCTCGCGGGCAATCGGTAAGTCAAGATTTGTCGACACTTTACGTGATGGTCGGAAATATTTCAAGAAAATCTGATAGACAAATTGCTGGGAACCGTTTTTTGGTTTTTCATTTAATGGCAAGATTGACGCACATCCAAGCGCTTGAACTTGATCAGGGAAATCTTTTCGAAAGAAACAATTTTTCCGCTTTTTATCGCAAATCTCCACGCCGAGAGCTTGATCTTTTAACCGTAATTTAGCCAATTTTTGCCTCAAATCCGACAAATATTTGACGAGTTTCTCCTTTTCTTCAGCTTCTTTCCCCTCATCTTCTTCCAACATTTCGACGCCGACAATTCCATAGAAAATCTCATCAAGAAACTCTTCAAATAGCTCATCCACCGACTCATTTGTCCCGAATTTCGACTGAATCAGAAATCCGGGTCGATCTTCTTTTTGCAATCGGTTTTCAGCTAATAGTTTCCCCAATGATCCGACAAATTTTGGCCACAATTCTGCTTCAATCTCATATAGTAAAAGCTTTTGATTGAATGAACCGACTTGTCGCCATGGGATCTGATTCCCGGCCCAAATAAAATGGGAACATGACGCTAACTTGGGACATTTCGAAAGAGTTGACAAAAAGCGTTTCACTTCTTTCCCGTCTTTTTCCTTCTTTCCCTCCCAATCTACTTTTAGCTTTAGCTGATTGAATGACTGAATAAATAATCTAGTAAATGAGAGCTCCAAAAACTCAACCGAATCACTAGTTACCTCCCACTCATTAACATGATGAAGATTTGGTAGGAAATAGAAACGATCAAGCAAATTCTCGAATTCTCTCTCGGCGAGATCTCCATGACCGAAATGAGGGGAACAGCTGAGGGAAAACCTCCTCACACTAATCATTTTACCCATCAACGACCAAAAAACTCTCCCAGGGACACTGATTTTCCATCGAATTTTCCCAGAAACAACCTCGATTTCGCTTTCTGAGATGTGAAAGCTGGGAATTGTTGTCCCGTTGAATGAGATAGCGAATACACACTCATATGGACTTTCCGAACTGATCTTCTTTCGATAAATTGGAAGCTCAACCTCGAGAAAGTCGGTTTTTCTTGGAGGAAATGCTCCATTTTGTAGTAGCGAGGCTCGAATCTTCTTGTTGACTCGTAACAGTTGAGGCACATCATCGATTGCCGTCGATTTCAGGCTCAGAGCTTTTAGTTTGATTGGGAGCTTTGAATAAGGAAACATTAGAAAATTTGAGCACTTTATTTCTGCTGAATAGAGCTCAAATCTTGATTTAGTAAAGGAAATTAGTGTGGAGAAATATTGGAGTGATAGAATTCCTCCTATTGATAGAAATAGGAGGAGTCGAGTTAAACAATAGGAAAATTTCGGATCTATGATTCGAATAAGAAAGAGCACAATCGAATTCCAGAGAATCAATCTTATCAAATAGTTAGTGGATCTAGACTCGAAACGAGTGTGTTAAAGACTCAAAAAACTTGTTCTTTCCTCTAGAACAAGGGGAAAGTGATTCACATTAATAGAGCTCCTAGATTGATCTCTGATAAACAACAGCTGTCCACATGGGTGGGGGATTTGTTTTGGGTGGTTATTGACATTTCAAAAAGGGGATTCTCTTTCAAATCCTTGCACCTGACAGCACAGTAGAGTCTATCAAAAAACCTTGATTATCATTTTTCCACTTGAAAGCAAATATAACATCAAATGTGAAACGATAACTTTTTCGGCAAAACTCAAACCAACTTTTATCATCTTGCTCTGAGGAATCATTTAAAATTGGATATACAAATATTGCTCAATACTCAATGCTCAATGCTCAATATAAAACACCATTCTTAATTTTTTGAGACTTTTGAAAGAACTTCAAAGGGCTTGCTTTGAGTAGAGGCAAAAAGTGAACTTCTTTCCTCAGGATCGAGTTTCATGTTTTCAAGTATTTCGTCTCGAAAACACAAAAACAAGTCTATCGAAGAGTCGGTACTTTTGTGTTATCTGGGGGATCTTTTTCCTTATCTTCCACTTGATTTTACTTGATTTAGTTTATTTTACTTTTAGCTTCTACTTTTTCACTTTATGCTGCAGACAGGTCGCACAGACTATTATTTAGGCTCCTATATTTTCCCAGGCTTTGCCTCCGCACCTTAACGGCCAACATCGAATGGCGCAAACAAAGACAAACAAAGCCCTCTACCTTGAGGCTTTAGCGACCGTTGGCACCTTCGGAGCAGTTAAGGTGCAGAGCCAAAGCCTAGGAAAATTATAGGAGACTATTAAGGTTCCTATATTATTCAGTTTCCTATATTTTTCTAGGCTTTGGCTCCGCATGTTAACGGCCAACATCGAATGGCGCCACCTGCAAACCTGCAAAAGTCCTCTACCTTGAGGCTTTAGCGACTGTCGTGCTCTGGGGTTGGTATCAGGTGCCACGGACGCCTTCAGAGCTGTTAAGGTGCAGAGCCAAAGCCTAGGAAAATTATAGGAGACTATTAAGGTTCCTATATTATTCAGTTTCCTATATTTTCCTAGGCTTTGGCTTTTCACCTTTGCCAACCTTTGCCCTTTATTGAACTAATGTGAATTCTGATGCCAAAAAGCTCGTTCTCTGTAACCATAAAACTATTTCGCCATTGACATTTTCCGCCCAGCTAAGCTTTTTCTGAGATCCCTCCTCCGCCCACCAGATAACACAAAAGTGGCTGTGATGTCACAAGGCTTCTCACAAGCTAGACTCTTCGATGTATCGAAGAGTCTTAGGCAAATGCATATAGGCAAATGCATATAGGCATGTGCAAATCTGTCGGCGATTATATTTTCATGCAGATTTGAGCCATGGCCGGGCTGGGCTGACCTGCTTCCATGCTTCCATGTTTCCAATGCTTCCAATAAAACACTAAAATCAAAAGCCAGTCTCTAGTTAGTGTGAGCCAGCTTCAATGAACCTTTGGAGCGAACTTTCGTCCGCCAGGCTTTCCATCTCAAAAATAACTTTAAGCTTTCGTTTGAACTAACTTGAACGGCTTGGACGATTTGACTCCGACGGCAAAAAATCAGACTTTATTTTTGAGAAACACGCAAACAAGCCATGGATAAAAATTCAGTAAACTCAAATTAACATCCACGAACGTCGAAAGATCTTTTATGTCTTCCACCAGAGCTTCGTAGCTCTTTCTAAATCAGTCAGCTTTTCACTGTTATTAAGAATCAAAGAGTTTCCAATTACTGCTGACTGCTGCCTTGACAATCTCATCATGGGCATTAGCTGACACATTGAAATGGGTGATCGCTCGGAAAAAGGGTCGTTTGTTTGAAGAACTAACTTTATCAGCCTTTGTTCGAAGAACTAACTTTATAAGCCTTTGTTCTTTTTAAAGTATGTACTATTAAATACCTAGTCTCAAGTACTAAAAGCATGTAAATTTCAAAATTCAACAATTATTTGAGATAACTGCTAAACGGGACCTAGTTAGAACAGCGCCGTTTATTTCAACGCCAACGGATCAGTTTCATCAGTTCATTCCATCAGTCATTTTAGTGCCGCGCAAAAAAAGGCTCGAAAATGGTCATTTCAGCGCGACTAGCTTTTAATCTTCTTGATTCTCGTGTTGTTTTTGCATGTTTTTATGTTTTCGTTAGTGTTTTTGCACTTTTTTCAGTTATTGCACCTAGAGTACGGCCATACGCATCAAATGTGCGCAAAAACGACCAAAAATTCACTCGGTTTATCCATTTCTAGGGGGAAATATATTGGGTTGATGGAAAAGTCCAACAAAAAAAGCAAAAAAACACAACAACAAAAAACAACAAAAAAAAACGAGAAAAACGAGAAAAACGAAGGAAAATTGCGAAAAGCGGCGGAAAGGCTATTGATCTGAGGGTCGCTGGTTCGACTTCCACCGGTGACAATATTTTTCAAAAATCGTTTGCTAAGATTCTGAAAATGCGTGTCTAGGGGTTATTTTTGACGCCGATCACGAAACACATGTTTTTAGCCTAGGTTTCTGCACGGAAAACTAACGAAACGTGAAAACAGCCATTTTTTGGCTCTGCCGCCCTTTACTAAAATAGCTGTAAAAACTTTTAGAAAAGAGATATCTCAAAACGGTTTTTACCAATCGATCCGTCTTGAATTCAGCTTTAGGATGAGCTATAAAACGTCAAAATTCGACAAATTTAAGGTACTCTCCCAAAAAATCGGAAAGGACTTTTCCATCAACCCAATAGAAATTTGCTACTTTTATGATAAATGCCCCCAAATCTCGTGTTTTTAATGCTTATTTTTCTTTTACAATTAGCTTACAGGTAACATATTTCTTTGTTTGGTTTTGCATTATGCTCGAGAATTATCGACAAGGAGCACACCTGGAGCCAAACAAGAGGGTAACGTTTTATTCTTTGCTCTACTTTGTTTTCTAGGTTTTTATATCGGGTTTTTAATTAAAGAATGAATTTTTATCTTTAGCAGCCACTGATTCCGCAAATTTGTAGTCGATTGCCCTACTTTGTCGCCGATTTCAACGGCTCAACGGAGTAACTTTTCGTTTTGTTCGTTATTTCCTAGGCATTTATATGGGCTTTTTATTTAAAAGATTTTATTTTATCCTTAGTTGTCAGAAGTTTCACAAAGATCCAACCCAACCATGATGAAGAATTTGAATACCGAAAAGATTGAGAATTAAAAAGCGACCTCATTGTAACTATCAAGATAAATCTTTAATAAATTTACTTTAAGTGTGCTAAAGCAGGTTGTAAAGGTTCATTTTGATGTCACCGTAGGATCAATCATAAAGAAAGCATCTCCGCACAGCTCTTTGCATTGCGAATTGCCCCCGCTTTGCGGAAAAGTGCTTAGTTACTGCCACAGAGCATTGTTTAAATAAAGGCACAATATTTCGATACTTTTGTTGGCTAGTTACGTCTATCTAAAGCTCAAGTGAAAAACAGCCAAAAAACTAAGATTTCAACGAAGCAAATTGTCAGGAGACAAATTTTAACGGCCCAACGCACATTTTGTCCTTTGTAGATCTCGATGGACTAAAAAAAAATGCCCAGAAGACAAACAAAAATTCCAGGGATAAAGAAATTGACCAGCTTCAATTGATTTAACGGCTTTCCGTAAGCTTTTTGTCTTATTTCATAACAATATAGCTAACAAGTAGAATAGCCAACAAGTAGAATGCCAACAAGGGTGCCTCTTCCGGCAAAAATATTCTCTCTGACTCTCTCTAATAGTAGTGCACCATGAGCGTTGCCTAAATTGCTCGAAATCTCGAGAACCGCTTATCAGAACCTATCGATGTGGGGTCGGAAAATGTAGCTGACGATGGGATCTAGTGGGGGATTAGAGTGTTGGGCTTCTGCAAAAGCTTGAAAACCGTAAAATAGTCATCAACTCGGCTCGGCGCGGTGAATACTATTAGAGAGAATACGGTAACCGCTGAATAAAAATCCCAAGATGCACAAAATTTAAGGAGTTGATCAAAACAGCGCCGTGTACAAGCAGCGCCATGGCAAAAATAGCCCCTCCACGGTCAAGTTTCCATGTGTTTCTTCTTATTTGATGCAGATTAAAATTATCTACATTTTGCATCTACTTTTCGATCACTTAAAACAGAAGTGGTGCTGAGAAAGGCTCAGTTAACCACTTTTTGAGCTCTTTTTCGTTTTTTTGGCATTTTCTCATCTCAGATTTGTTCTAAACGGCTCCAAAAAATTCAGTAGATAGCTAATTTGCTTCTACATCCAATGAATCCAATACTTATCAATACCAAGGTTTTCTCGGACCACTTTAGAAGCTAACACCTTATTTTTTGCTTATTGGTGTCTGTAATGGTCGGAGTATATACGTTTTCCTGAATCAAGAAACATACCGTATTTTCTCTAATAGTAGTGCACCATGAGCGTTGCCTAAATTGCTCGAAATCTCGAGAACCGCTTATCAGAACCTATCGATGTGGGGCCGGAAAATGTAGCTGACGATGAGATCTATTGGGGAATTTGAGTGTTGAGCTTTTGCGAAAACTTCGAAACCGTAAAATAGTCACCAACTCGGCTCGCTGGGGTGCACTACTATTAGAGAGAACACGGTATATCTTCGAATTGAAATTGAAATTGGTTGAAATGAATCGTGTTGAATAATTGTTGAATAAATTGTATTTGCTTTTTTAAAAACCGAAAACTTGAATTGTTTTTAACTTTACATTTAAGCTTTTAAAATCCTTCTGAAAATGGACTGTCTATTTGTTTGCTTGACGTTGGTGGGTTCCATTTTGCACACGGCACGGGAGTAGGTTCGATCGGCGGATGGGATCCAATCCCATCGACGCTCATTGCACGACGCGTCATTGCCCATCTGAATGCAAAAAAAGATGAATCTGGAGTTTCTATGCACGGTTAACACTTATTTTCAGCACTAATCATGTTTTCGACTGAGCTTTTTAAATCACCACATTACCCTAATGAAATACTTCAACCATAGACTTGAATCATTCAGAAAATTGCAATGGGAGCTCATATTTGATTGCAAGAATGTATAACCGAATTCAGAACCAAATTAAAAAGCCAAACCATCCAGTAATAGTAGGAGGATGTCTCATGGTCAGTTGGGTAATCGACGGGCGATCCGTCAGTCCAAGAGCCACTTCTCGTAGCGCCCGTCCCATAAAGACCCGTCCACGCCCACAACTCGTCACACGATTTCTTGCCCACCCTTGAGGCAATCAAGTCTGAAAAATGGGTATAGGGTTACATTTATAGTATAGTTATAAGATGAGTACGGGCATTTGCGCACATTGTGCGTGGAATAGAAACTAAAAGGCAAGTGCATTTTTGTTTTGATTGGCCACGCAGAAATTGTGAAAATGAAAATGAACGGGTGTGCAAAAAAAGTGCGCAAATGTTCTATAACCGGTAAAACCACTTGGTAGAAGAGAAAAGTTTCATTAGAATTCATTAGAAATTAGTGCTTGTTTGATTTCACTTTGATTTGACACTTTTTGGTTTATTTGATTTCAGGTAATTTCAACAAACCATAAACGAAATCTTCTTCGGTTTTTGAGTGAATCGAGACCAAATGAGCGCCCATCTTCTTGCAGCTTTTCTCAGCCGCTTTCCAATCGGTGGGAGTGGTGAAATTCTGAAAAAGTGTCAGACTTTCTGCTGGCAAGCTTTTCAAAAGAGAATCTTTCAGCTTGCTATCATTTTGAGGTGTTACCAATCGATAGAGATGGTGCAGTGATTGAGTGTAGTGAATAGAGTGTGTTGGTTTCGAGTAAGGCTTCGAGTAAGTCTTCGAGTAACTCGAGTAACTCGAGTAAACTTTACATGAGTATTTTTCACCCAATTAATCGACGTTTTGGTTGAGTGAAGTATGAGTAATCCTCTTTACGCGTCGAATAAATAGAATATCTTTACATTTCAAGGGAATTTGCCACCAAAATCAGTCAAACGACTTAATATCTTTAAAAAGAGTCGTTTATAAGTCATCGCTCGTGATTTTTTGCACCAATTTTTTGCAATACATTCATGGACAAAAGTTTTTTAACGTTGGTTTTTAGAAGTTTGTTCTTTGTATATCTTGATCCAAATCCGACCAATTTGCAAACGGTTAAAAGATTTAAAGAGCTTATTATCTCTAATTGTAACATTACAAAAAGATGGATTTGACAACGGCTGAATATCTTTAAAAGGGTTCATATATAAGTCGGCGCTCGTGATTTTTTTGCGCCAATTTTTTGCAATAATTTTCGCTTAAAGTACGGTAATTTTTTCCAAGTTTGCGTTTTAAAAAACGCATTAATCGCGAGGAACAGAATCTAGTAGTGAATATGCTGTTTGGGCGAGGTTAACAGTTAGAATATGAATTAAAGTAAATTTCAAGGAAACAAAAACCCTGGCTAACCTGTACATAATAACAGTAGTCGGTTTGTTGACTGTACGTCCACCCGCTTGAGCATTTTGAGGCTGAAAAGATTGTTTATACTACAGGGTGCGACATAAATACTGACTCAAGGTTTTAGAAAAACCAATTTTTCTAAAAACTTTTCACAAGAAATATTATATATTATATACTATTTTAAAGCTTTAATTCTCAGCTATATTAGCTGACAAAGAGTTTTTTGATTGGAAAAGCTTTCGAATCCTTAAGGCGACTCGAGAGGGGCGCACAGCAAACAGCCCTCGGCGTACTACCATTTTTTCTTTGGTTTACTAGGCAAAGAGAGTTTCAAAAGGGATTGTTTTTGGTTGAATCAAATTTAACGTGAAGTTTAATCAAGTAAATAAAGTTTTAACGAGTCTATTAGTGCAGAATAAAGCGATACCACACAGCGTATATAAGGCGACGCTCACATATAAGGCGATGCTCGTATATAAGGTAGGGACAAAAAAAAAAAAAAAAAAAAAAAAAAAAAAAAAAAAAAAAAAAAAAAAAAAAAAAAAAAAAAAAAAAAAAAAAAAAAAAAAAAAAAAAAAGGGGGAAAAATGGTAGCACGCCAAGGGCTGTTTGCTGTGCGCCCCTCTCGAGTCGCCTTAAGGATTCGAAAGCTTTTCCAATCAAAAAACACTTTTTCAGCTAATATAGCTGAGAATTAGAGCTTTCAAATAGTATATAAAACATAACATTTCTTGTGAAAAGTTTTTTAGAAAAATAGGTTTTTCCGCACCTTATAGAAAAAACCCCGTTTCCCTCACCTGTTTCGGCAACCGAGCAAAAGTATGGACGTGCTGTGGTGCATCCGGTAGTGACCCACTTGCCCGTTACGGTATCGATTATCGTGCACGTGTTCCCTGTCGTGTTTTTTGGTTCATCTAAAAACTTATAGGCTCTAAAACTGCGAGAAAATGATCTCACTTGAGGCCCAATTTTGATATGTCAACGCCGATCCGTCGGTGTAAGTCCACGTGTTATTGGCCACATTTTTCACAATCCCAATATAGGATGAGACGCTCATTCCTGCAATAAACATCAAAGTCATTAAGTCTTATGTGTCATATGTGTCCATATATGTCCTATATTTTACCAGAATAAATAGTTTCCTATCATCGACCATCCAACTAACCTTGAGCGTATGAATAGACGTAGGCGTTCTCGTAAACGTTCAAAAGTTTAACGATTTGTCCACCAAGCGACTGGCAGTGACGAGTGGCATCGGAAAATACTTGGGCTGTAAAGAAACTAGTAAGTAAGTAAGCTCAGACTAAAGAAACTAGTAAGAAAGTAATCTCATAGTAAAGAAACTAGTGTAAGTAAGCTCAGACTAAAGAAACTAGTAAGTAAGTAAGCTCATACTAAAGAAACCAGTAAGCAAGTAAGCTCATACTAGTAAGTAAGGAAGCTCAGACTAAAGAAACTAGTAAGTAAGTAAGCTCATGCTAAAGAAACTAGTAAGTAAGTAAGCTCATACTCGCAAAAATGAGCCTAGTCACTTAGTGGGATATTTGCCCTGATTAAAAAAGAAAATTAGACTAGTCTAGTTTCATATCTAGAGTCTCAAGTTTGTGCATGCTTTTCAGTATGAACAAACTTATTTTCGTCATTTACTTCTTTAGAAAGACGAGTTTCTCTAATAAACTAAAAGTATCTGTGTTGTCTTCAAGCAAATTCTGGCAACAACGTTTTGAATAATATAGGGTGCCCACGAACTCGATCGATTCACTTCTGAGGATCCAGCTTAGCGAGAACTCAATGAATCCGTGTGAAATTTTTGGAGGTGATTTTTGGGTATGTCTCCTGTAGCCAAGCTCATTTTTCAACATAGAATTGGTAGGTGCTTCTAGAATCTTTACAAAGTTGAGGCTCGCGGTACCGCTGGTGAAAAACTCAATTTACGGTTTTTGAGATATTCTTAAAATGTTACAGATTCATTATGTTTATTCGATAACTAACCTTAAACCAAGAAGAAAGAAAGACGATAATATCTTTTCAAAAAAAAGTCATCGACAAAAAGATATAATTTTTTCTCTAATTTTTGTAGTGGGCTTCCTAATTACATTTTGTTAGGAAGCCACAGTTCAATCAAATTTGACGACAGAAAATCGAATTTCTATGTGTGGCGAATAGCCACTAAAAAGTTACCTAACTCTGGCAGCCTAAAAATTGGACAAATATTGAGGAAATCGGTGCGCCTTCATTCTATTTCGCGCCCCAAATCATTTATTGTTTTGTAGCTTGTTAACTGAGTATCTTGTGTTAAAGCCTATATAAGGCAACTGTTGTTCATTTTGTTCTTTGTTATCTTTCATTTTTCTTCCTGCTTTCCTCTCATTGTGTGAAAGTTGTGTCCTAATTAGGACGAAATTGTTTCTGTTTTTATCGTCACTTTTAATTCAATTGTCGAGCTTGTGTGAAAGTTGCTCAAGTGAGAGCCCAAAGATTCCGAGTCAGTCGGCTATTGAATAAAGCGTTTTTTAGTTCAAGTGAGATCAGATATCTCAAAACAAGAAATAACGTGTCTCGGGTGAAGAGTACCAAGCACGCAAAGAATATTTCTTTACACTATGAGGTGTTTGATCTTTTGTTTGATCTGTTTGACCTGCTTGATCCTTTTTTTGTCTTAAACGTGATCCAATTCATTCAATAACTTCAAAAACGACTCTCAAAAACCTTAAATTGGGTTTTTTGCCAGGTGTACTGTGACTTTCAACTTTGTAACGTTATATAAAGATTCTAGAAGCACCAATTAGTTCGAAAATAATTTTGGCTACAGGAGGCATACTCAAAAGTCACCTCCAAAAATTTCATACGGATTCATTGAGTTCTCGCTGAGCTAGACCCTCAGAAGTGAGTCGCTATAATTTGCGGTCACAAATTAAGAAGCAACAACATTATTGGCTTGATGCTAGCCGAAATTGGTTACAGAAAAATATGACTTTTGAAAAGTACCGAGACTTGAACATGGCTAGTCTCCCAAATTTGGGACACCATGAATAGCTAAGTGAAAGTGCAGCTCTATTTTTGGTGCAATATGGTCATGATCAAGAAATCAGTTTTCCTGTAAGATCCACAATAATTGAGAGGATCACGCTATTCATCAATTTTATTTATTCATCAGTTTTATTCATCAATTATAATTAAATCATCATATTCATCAAATAAATCAATCAAAAAAAAACTCACGAGTATCAACAACGTAAAGACAGATGTCCTCTCGCGGGAATTGGCTGCTTCCATTCGTGCATTGCAAGGATTCGACTTCAAGAATAAAGAAGCAAAGGAATAGACACGCCAAATAGCTTCTCATTTCCGCTCTCGATCACCTAGAAAAGACGAATTGCTCTTATCACAAGAAGATGCTTTTTAAGAGTCCATTCAGACAGGACTCCTCCCTCGTTTTTCAGTGAAAATTGAAGTGACTCATTTTTTGGTGCTGATTTGAAAGATAAAGTACACACAAATTGTCGTGATATCGAGCAAGGTAGAGATTTTTGCTGGTGAAAGCTTACTCATAGGCTCATAGGCTCATAGGCTCATAGGCTTAAAGTTGAAGTGTCCATAGGCTCTAAAGCTTTTGCTCTTTGCTGCAAAACACAATTGAATGGCAAGTGCTAAAGTTCAGATACAGTTTTTCTAAAAGATTTTCACAAAAAGCCAAAACCTATTGAATCTTAACGCTGAATCAACATTTATAGTAGCCTCCTGATACAGAATCTTTACAATAACTTCTCCCTAAATCTAATTCCCTGAACTTGAACTTTAGTATGTACTTGTTTGCACAAAAAAAAACTTTTGCACTAAAATGCACCTAGTCTTTGGTTTTGTCTTTAACACCGTTATGAATGTGAGCGATGTTTGCCGAAGATCCGAAGAAATGCCGAAGAAGAATCAATTTGCATAAAATATTTATTTCGCAGTGCTTTACTTCTTTTTACTAGCTATTCGGTTGCATGTCTTTGCAACTTTTTTTTTTCCAAACGTCTTTTGAAAACACTAGCAAAATTTCTATTTTACCGAGTGTGAGGCGAGCTTTGAGCTTTCTCTACAAAATAGTGACGTTGCTCGTGGCGATGTTTACCATGATTTACGGCTATAGCACACTCAATTACATAAGTTGCCAAATTTAATGTATTAGACATAAACCCTCTAACCGTTCTCTCTACAGGGTGCGCCAAAATTATGGTAACGCTCCCGAATTATCTCATTTTTCACTTTTTTCATGTTTTTGTCTTTTTTTTCTGCAATATTTAATTCTACAACTATTTTTCAGGTATGAAATCGAAAAAGGATCTGCGCCCGGCTATCATTCGTCTACATCAGCAAGGAAAACGAATTGCTGAAATTTCGACACTTTTGCAAGAGAAGAAAGAGAATGTTTTCCGAGCTATAAAACGCTTCAATGAAACAGGAACGAATGAAGACCGCAAAGGAAGGGGACGCCCATCTACAGCCAACACTTTGACAAATCGAAAAAAGATCTTCACAAGACTCAAAAGGAATGCAACCACCACAAAGAACTCGACTCGGAAAATCGCCACCGCTATTGGCATCGGAGCAACTTCGGTTCGACGAATCCTCAAAAAAGCTGGATTCAAGGCAAGAAAACAAATAAAAGGTCATTTTTTGAGTGATGAAATGAAAAAGAAACGTTTGGACCGATGTAAACAACTAAAAAGACGTTTTGCTGCAAACCGTCATCGTCAGATTCTCTTTACGGATGAGAAATGGTTTGACGTCTCCAGATTTGAACGTTTTGGACTATTCCATTTGGTCGATTTTAGAGTGCAAAGTCTTACACATCGGTAGACTCTTTGAAACGGGCACTAATTAAGGCTAGGAACGATTTGTCCATCATCACAATTCAAAAGGCTATCGATGAATTTCCAAAGCGTTTGAACCAGTGTATTGCTGTTAATGGTGGTCATTTTGAGCAATAATCGTTGTTTACATAATGTTCTTGTTAAAGTTAATAAAAACTATTGTTTTCTAAAAGTTTTTACTGGAAAAGATTTGTGTTTTCTGCAGTTACTATTTCGTTACCATAATTTTGGCGCACCCTGTAGATTACAGTTTATAGATTTTGCGAAGAAATTGCCTTTTGTTAAGCTGAGGCGCTGTTTGAGTTCTCTTTTAAAGGTCATTTTGTAGAGAATTTTATTTAACCTTTCTACCGATATCAAACGCGTATCATTTGACGAAGTCTGCTAGAAGTTTTAGAAATTTCTCTGATTTTCATTTCATCCTCCCCAATAGGAAGTAATGTATTGCTCAAGGTGAAAGGAATTGCTTCTTTTCCGATGCCAGAACATTGCACCATACAGTTGAGGGGAAATTTATTAAGAAACAGTTAATAGTTTGGATAAGCAAAGATTCAATCGATTAAAACATCGAATTACGATCGATCATCTTTTATCCAATTGTGAAGCCCCACGGACCGCCTAAAATACAAAAAAACTTGACTACCACTCGAAGAAGAAACTCACCAATGTTCAGTACTTGTCGCTCTTGTCGCACAAATTCACTGGAATAAATTTATTTTTATTCATCAAATAAAAGCTTTTCTTAAACATAAGATTAAGAAAAATCAGTCAAGATTCGATAGTGGTTTAAGAAGATAAAAGTGCTTACCAAAGCACTTTTATCTTATTAGGTTTAGCTCTAGTAAGCCAGGTTTAGCTCTAGTAAGCCAGGTTTAACTCTAGTAAGCCAGGTTTAGCTCTAGTAAGCCAGGTTTAGCTCTAGTAAGCCAGATTTAGCTCTAGTAAGCCAGGTTTAGCTCTAGTAAGCCAGGTTTAACTCTAGTAAGCCAGGTTTTACTCTAGTAAGCCAGATTTAGCTCTAGTAAGCCAGATTTAGCTCTAGTAAGCCAAAAATCAATAAATTTACAATGAGCTAATTAATTAACTGTGTTGCTAAAGATCGTCTGTTTTAAAATACAACTGCTACATAAAAACGCATAAAATCTTTCTATGGGAAAATGTATATTTTCCAATTACATTAATCGATAAAATCCCAACTTTTCTGCTTCCACATGTCCATCAATCGGAGCACAAGAGATCACTTCGAGTAAAGCAAGTAAAGCTAAAATAAGGACGAGAAAATATTTCATTATTTTAGAGGAAATATACAGAAAGACGACGTTTTTGTGATCACTTGAGATCTTTTTATAGATTTCTATGAGAGAAAACCCGTTATTTATCATTTTCTCGATTGGGAGCATGCGGTTTTGTTGTTTGTTGTTTTCACCGTTGTTTTCATCGTCTGCAATGACGAGGATCGAGATCTAAGTTCCCAAAAAAAGAGAAAGGAAAATAAATTGAGAATTGTACATTGTGATAATTTGAATAACTTTCTGCTACAGTTTAGAAGATCAACAGACTCAGATTCCGACAAAATTCTTGTTTAAAGTAATTCTTTTGCAGCAATATTTATTTATTAGTAATTCTTTTGCAGCAATTGAGCCAATGAGCATTGCATTTATTATGAATAGATAAATTCCTACATTTTTTATAATACATAATAAAACCAGTATAAATTTACACGAATTATGAATCAACGTCTAAAAGATAGACACTTAGAGATAAAGTACTGGACAATGAAATATGATATTTGAAAAACGATCGTCCTTTCGCGCGTCTGTAACTCCCTTGTCTTTATCGTATTTCTAAATATTAATATTACCATTGTGTAGCCCTTGAAAAGAGCTTTCAGAAAATGTATAACACTAACAGTTTAAACTCAAAGACAAGGAAGTTACAGACGTGCGAACGTGACGATCGTTTTTCAAATATGATATTTCATCGTCCAGTACTGTAGGTTAAACTATGTGCTTGATATCTATGGGAAAATTGAAGCTTTAGACCATGTATAACTGTAAACTATAGTTTTTCTATTTAAATCAACAAATTTTAATTAATTTTAAACGTGAATAAACTTTAACTTGGTCTTCTATCTACAGGATAACCCAAAAGTTCGGAGCCACCTTGTTTTTCAGCGAAATTCAGCTTTTAAGCAAACAAAAAACGACCCAATGCTGAATATTCTTATAAAAGTTTATAATTATAGCCAGTTCATGTTAAATTTAAGGCTTTACAAGCAAATATCAAGTCTTTTAATTGACAATATATTGCTAGAATCAACCCAAATGCTTGGTCGCTTGAATTTCTTTCAAAAATCTGAATTTTCTGAAATCTCTAATTAAACGTGGTCAATCAAAAGGAATTCTATTTGTGTAGAAATGGTCTGAAAAGTAGAGGCAGCTGATTCTAGCTTTTTTTTGTTCGTAGCTACAGTACTGGACAATGAAATATCATATTTGAAAAACGATGGTCACTTTCGCGCGCGCTGAAATGCGTCAAAAAATACGGTATTTCTAAATATTAATATTACCATTGTGTAGCCCTTGAAAAGAGCTTTCAGAAAATGTATAACAATAATAGTTTAAACTCAAAGACAAGGAAATTACAGACGTGCGAACGTGACGATAGGTTTTTAAAAATGATATTTCATTGTCCAGTACTGTATCAGAAAGTGAATCTTAACATATGATTGGATTAAAAACCGAATAAACAAGGATTGAGATCGATAAGGGAAAGATTTATTCAATTTTCTCTTCATATATTCATCAGCAATTCATCCTTACTCGGTCTATGGTTGATTGCTTGCATTCGAATTCTCATAGATCCTCAACATACGTCTTAACACGATCCTCTTGCTACTTGTGATGAGAAACTCTCGATAGGGTTTGATCACAAAAACCATCACAAGAGAGTTCAGTGCTCCGTGTGTTGACATCAGAGTCAAGGCAATCGATGTGATCACTAAAAGTTTTTCATAACAAAACCCAACTAAAGATTTAGCTCCCGCTAGACATGGGGGAAATTCCAAGCCGAACCCAATTCCACCTTCGTTTTCCGTTTCTTGATCGATTGCTCTGCAACTGAAACTCCCTCTGAGAATCTGAGACTCTGAAACTCTGAGACTCCCTCTCCAGATGCCCAACCTCATAGAGCTCTTCTTCTGACTTGTACCCAGTCTCAGCTTCTTCCGGCATTGTTGTTGAAACCTCTTGAGCTGTTTGAGCTGCTTCTTCTTGTTCATAGAAATTTTCTTCACGAGGTTCAACTTGTGATTCAGCGTGGGAGTCGGCTCGAGACCTAAGCCCAGAATGAACAGCTTCAGCTGGCTCTTTTGCAGCTGAAACTGTCGATTTCTAGCTGTAGACAAAATTTCAAAGCAATCGGCCAAGAAACAGCCGAGAAAACAAAGGTAGAATTAGGTTCGGATTGGAATTTTTTCTAGTTTCTGCTACTTTTAGTCGTTTTCTTCGCCTAGCCAGATCCCCTCGAGGCAATTTTTTTGTGTTTTTACGTGATTAAACAAATTTCTGATTGAATAGTATCAAGATCGACCACACCATAAATTCCAATAACCTAAATTAGTTGTTTTTTTTACCAAAAAATGCCTGCTACCCGCCTATAACTGCGTAAAGTTACTGAATAAAGTTACTGAATTACTACATATGTGCTAGATATCATCAATTAGAACTTTTTTTTGCTTATGTAAAGACTCTAAAATTAGTCTGATATGAATACTCTAGGACTAAAATAGCAAGAAGACTAAATTACACAAAATCTACACTATTTTTTGTAGTTTCGTCCTTTTGAATGTTACAGTTTGGGAGTCGAAACGAAATCGAAATTCGAAATATTATCGAAATTCACCGGCTTCACGAGCCGACTCCCGTAAGTAACTCTGCCAGAGCAAAACTAAGAGTGAATGAACATGAGCTTGAACACTGCCTTACAAAAGGGTTCGCAAACGGGCTTGCCCGTGCTATTAAAAGAGTCAAGGAGAGCCTCTAACCAAGCGAAACCAAGCGTTGGACAATTCCACTATGAGCAACGTGAGCCAAGTGAGTCCGCGCCTTAATTCGAAGGGTTTATCCTCCGTCGGTGGCCTGTCCTACAGCTTTTTCATTTTGTACCTTGTACCTTGTAAATTGTTCTTCCAATTTCCTTGAAGTATCGTTAGCAGGAGAAAGATCGGAATAAAGTAGGAGAACATTGGGATGATAGCCTAAAAATTTCTTATTGAAGAAAAAACAAAGGATTTACCTGAAGGAGCAATGCTATCAGGGCAAAGAAATGCCGTTTCCTCGCCATTTCGCTCATTTTATTCCGAAGTCGTTTCAATCGTTCGAAAGCCCAAACCACGATGATCCCATTAATTAACATGTAGATGGTTGTATCTAGAAAAAATGATTATGTAAAACGGATTATGTAAAACCCACTCATCATCCACACGGATTTACATATCGAGTATGTTGGATTGATCCACTCATCGAGAAGGAAAAGGGTGAAATCGTGCTCGAGAGTGTCCCGCCAATTTTTCACATGCTGAAGTCTTGACAAGTAACCAAAATAATCCTAAACATTGATCATCCACTACCGAGCTTTTCTGGTCATCAATGAATTGGAAGATTTCCGTGATTGGCAAGAATTTGCGATGGGGATAACAGATTTCTCCAATGAAATTAATGAACTAAATAACGAGGGATTACCGACAAGCCAGGAAGTGAAAGAACAAGACAGGAAGTGAAGGAATATGAGAAGATTGATTAACATAGAGATAAAGCTAGATGATGTGAAAATGGCCCGTGATGTATCGATTCATTCGGCTGCGAAATTTTTCAACGTTGATTGCACCCTGCTAACGGAATATGAGAAGATTGATTAAGAAAGAAGAAAGCGATTCATGAAACAAGAAGACCAGCTGAAAATGATGAAAGGAAAACGAAAAAGATTCGATGGAAGCGGAAGTCATTTGAGTTCAGCAAACATCGACGAAACTTTGGCTAATTGGATTCGTGAAAAACGAGCAGAAAGAAACGAATCACCGGATCATTTGTACAGAAGCGATGAATAAAGAAGAAATCGATTCGGAAGCATCGTTTGAATAGAATCCATCTTTAAAAATAATTGCTAACTGTTACTTCTGATATTTTTGTTTTTTCATGCTAGTGAAATGTTGGCTAAAACATAAATTTGTTTGTTTTAGCTGTACGAGAACGAAAGTACGATTTGTTTTAGCTGTACGAGAAGGCGACGTCAAAGAAGTGCAAATCAACGATCAAAGGACTACATTAAAAGAAGGACAAGAAGAAAAAAAGAAAGTTAGAGTTAAACAAAGTTTTGAGTGTAAATTTACACTTGCCCCCCGCCTCCGATACAATTCGATGTCATCGAAAAAATAGAAGCCCCGAGGTTTCTATTACAGGAAATACGGGATGCCATAAACTGGACCCAAACTTTGTGAGAGTAATTTGGCTTGAGTCTGACCGGGAAACTTTTGCTTTGGAGCAATCCTGGTGGAGAAAATGACTTACATATGCAAAAAAAGCTCTCATCCTCTCCGGGTTCGGGTAGGCGAGAACGAAGAGCGTAAGCGAAGACAAAACCAAGCAAAAAACTGGCATCATTGTCTAGAAATCCAACAATTTCAGCTATTTTCCTTTTTCTCATTACGAAAAACAAATTGCGAAGGCTTCTCGTTGACCAGCTGTTCTCATAGAGCACGAGGCACCGATAGACGAAGCCCATTTGAATGGAGATCTCACATAGATTGAGCATAGCGAAACCGATAAACTGCAAAGAACAAATGATAGAAAAAAAGACTGACCGTAAATAAGAACTATCCATTTAGAATAAAAGAGACCTAAGACTCACTGGCACACAAAAATAGTAGTCGGTACGAGTTTCGAAATTCCGAAAAAAATGCGCTCTCCCCACACCGCCAACCAGAGGGAAAAAGGCGAGTGGTTGAATCCAAAATTAAAGAATCAAATCGAAGATGAAAGCACAAATCTGGGAAAACATTTGATATTCATAAGAAACACTGTGCCTACAGAATCTGCAGCGAAAAAAGCTGACACTACTCTTGCACACCTCTAGAAAAGAAGTGCTTAGTGCTTACCGTAAATACTGTGTACCCCCCCCCCCCCCCCCCCGTACAGTCGCGTCGTCACTAGTCGCAAAAGTTTTTTAGCATTTTTCAAAGCGCCCGTACTTTCAAAAAATGCGTCTTTGGTATCAAAAAATAGCTGAAATTCAGGGCTATTTTTTGATACCTAAGCGCGCATTGTAGCATAAACCAGTGTCGAGAAAAACTCGTTCAAAGCTAGACTACGCAACACTCCGCACCGTCATTATGGGGGTGGGGTACTATTACAGTATTTACGGTAAGTGCTTAGTGCTTAAGTGTTTCTCCCAGCAAACAAAATTGCAAAACAGTAAACAGCAAAATTGGCTCCTCTTTCTTATCAGATTCGAGTATTATTTTTTGAATCAACAAGAGAGTCAACAAGAGAGTCAACAACCCTTTTATAATATAATTTTATAAGCTGATTCTTTACGGATTCTACTAATTAATCTAAACCCATAGTTATACTTAAGAAGACTTGAAATTTTGAAGAAATCTTTTATTTTTCAGTCGATGCGTTTGCTTTGGTTTTTCGTTCTCGTGCTCGCTCTGGTCGCCTCCGGGAATCCAGGGAATCCATCACTAAAAATTCGCCTGAATCATCGGGGATGGGATTTCCTCAGAGAGACCGGAATACGAATGGTTTGCAAACATTTGATTTCATTTATTTATGTATGGACTAATGTATAGTTAGGTATTAAGTCGACTGGTTTGTTCAATTCCGGTTCAAACTGGTTTGTTCAATTCCGTTCTGGGGATAAATCCTGAAACACAAAGGGAAGGGTCATCCAACAGTCCAGTGGGATACTGACAAGTTGCACAGTTGCACTGACAAAATTTTGCAAAATCCAGCTGTCCAAGTTGCTCGAAATTTTTCAAACCAACCAAATCAAAGCCTTTTAGCTTTCTTATTGCGAAATCGTAAAAGAGTTATCAGTTGCTCATACAATAATACCAGTGTTCTAAGGACTACCAGTGTTCAGCTAATATTAAAAATGTTTATGTGGAAGGCTAAGCACCACTACGGACATGTGCAAACTGGTTTGCTAAATTCCATTCTGGGGATAAATTCTCGAAGACAAAGGTCATCCAGCAGTCCAGCTGGATAATGCCAAGTTGCTCGAAATTTTTCAAAACAACAACAAGCTTTCTTCTAAATAGCAAAAAAGTTATCAGTTGCTCATACAATAATACTCGAATATTGGATACACTTGGGTTTAAATCGAAATTAGGGACTTGGATTCCACATGTTTTAACGGACACCCAGAAATGGCAACGTGTCAGAAATCAGTGCCGCTCATCTTTTTCGATACGAGCGCAAATCTTTTTTACCCCGTATTGTGATGGGGATGAAAATGGATTCTAATTGTCGGAGAAGGCGACAAAGGGTTGCTGAAGGGGAAAAGCCAGAACCCGACGTCAAGCCAAATGTGGATGAGAAGAAGTTTATGCTCTCGGTGCTCTGGGATTTGGAAGAGCCTATCTGCTGAGGACTTTTGGCAAGACAACACTCACTTGAAAAAAGGACTGTGGGCTACAAATTTGACCAGCTGATCTGATAAGAAAGAGGAGCCAATTTTTTGTTTGCTGGGAGAAAAGAGAGTCAACAACCCTTTTATAATATAATTTTATACGCGGATTATTTACGGATTCCGCTAATTAATCTAAACCCATAGTTCGACTTTAGAAGACTTTAAATTTTGAAAAAATCTTTTATTTTTCAGCCGATGCGTTTGCTTTGGTTTTTCGTTCTCGTGCTCGCTCTGGCCGCCTCCGGGAATCCAGGGAATCCATCACTGAAAATCCGCCTGAATCATCGGGGATGGGATTTCCTCAGAGAGACCGGAATACGAATGGTTTGCAAGCATTTGATTTCATTTATTTATGTATGAACTAATGTATAGTTAGGTATTAAGTCGATTTTTAGCTCAAACGATTTTGAGCATCATCAAGACTGGGCGAATATCCGAAAACAGGATATCGGCTTAGGCTCAGGCTTAGGCTTAGGCTTAGGCTTAGGCTGCCTTGTATGGAAAACCAGATATTCGATATTCAAAACAATGACGGGACAAAACAAAAATTTGTATACATATTTTGGGCTAATAAGGGCGATAGTGAGGTCATAAAAAACAGAAATAGCCAAAATTTTACCTAAGAAGTTACAAATATGTGAGTGTGAATATCCAATATCCACAGCCCTGATCATTCTCTTTAGCTCGAGAAGAATATGCCGGGAATGCGTCTATCAGATCAAGAACACAAGAAATCTTACAAATTGGAATTGTCTGATATGACAATCGACGGAATGAAAAGACCACAGTGAGAGAATTTTGCACCAAATGGTTAGGTAGAGGACTTGGTATGATCTGGCTATGCAAGTTTAATGAGCATAAACTTTTCCTAGTTAGACCCTAAAAATGACCCAATCAATAAAATTCAGCTTTCACTATGCGCTCACCGAAAACGGGATTTCGATACGAATGAAAGGAATGGAGCTTTGGGGTCAAGGAACCTACCGAATCTCCAAGAAGATCATAGCTAAGGTTATACTCCTTTTTGAGTGGTTTCTTGTAACAGGTTAACAGGGGAGAAGTTCTTTTTGGCATGATTGAGATAGCCACCTAGGTAGGTGGAGTACATTTATTAGGGAGAGCACTTAGACTAGAAAATCCCAACAATAGTATATAGAGTGGTCCGAAATTATAGCAACTCGGTATTTGCTGGAATCTGTGGTTTAAAAATAATTAAACCACTGATAAAATAGCATTTTTTTTATCTATTTTTCAAGAAAAAAAATCAATCAAGCTTAAAGTAGGAGCCTTGAGCGTTAGTACAGGCCTTGAGCCTTGAGTCGTTTTTGGAACGCATTGACCGTGGATGCAGTTAGACTGTATTCAACTCATCCCAAGCTTTCATCAACGATTTCTTCAAGGAATTGATGTTTTTGTGCGGCTTCAAGCAAGCTTTTGCTTCCAAAACGGTCCAGACAGAGTAATCAAGGGGATTAAGATCAGGGGAGTTTGGTACTTGACAAATTACTCGGTACACTCGGAAAACTTGATAAATTCGAGGAGATTGTTCTCACATCAATCCTGAACTTTGCGAGCTTTGTACGCAGGCATCCTCTTGTTGAAACCAATGGCGTGCCCCATAAGTGTGGATTTGCCCATGGAAATAAATCGTTTTTAAGAACATTGAAGTACACGTCCTGATTGATCTTAACACCAGCATCCACGAAAACAAGTGACATTTTTCCATGTGATGGCACAGCTGCAAAAACGATAACCGATTGTGGATGAGAAACTAGCTAAATTACAGAATTAATCTTCGAATAGATGCGATTATTCTCTTCAACAAGATACTCTTCAACAGTAAATATCTTTTCATCAAATCAAGATGAAGATGCCGGCTGTTTCCGATCCGTCTCAGCAGGGCCTTTGAGAGTACTAATCGTTTAACTTATCGACAATAATTAAACTTCGTTCTGCTTGTAGGCGTGCAATTTAAGGTCGTCAACAACTATTCTTCGAAGAGAAGATCGAGAGAAGCAAATCCCTTTCGAATGATGCGCACGGAAAGGTTTTTGCAAATCCTATCCCGAACTTTTTTGATCGTGTCCTTAGTTCTGGCTGTGCGCTTCCGACCTCTTCTAATCCGATTTCTAATCTAATTCTAATCCCAAGACTTTAAACCTTTTACTCGTTCGATAAACAACGATCTTGTTGATCTTCAGTCGCTTGGCGATGTCGATCGCCGATATCCCACTTTTATGCAAGACGACGATCGAATCGCGATGAACAGATTTCTTGACCATTCCTAAAATTAGCAAAGCTTTCGAGTAATAATATAAAATACAATCAAATAAGGAGAAAAAAAAGTCGATAAAGCTTTAGGAATGTAAATCGATTGCAGCTTAATTGAAGCCGACCCGAGTTGCTATAATTTTGGACCACCCTGTACACTCCTTGTTAGAAGTACCCCACCCAGTCTACCTGCGTTGGTCCCCCAACCATTGAGAAATCGAGATTTTGAAAATTCCTCTACTTTACAGTTCTCCACACACGGCCGGCTTGATGCCCGTTTACGCAATGTGCACGCGAATGGCCTCGTTCGAATCGGTCTTCATGAAGGGCGCCCACAAATATTCTTTGAGAACTGCAACGCCGGTGTCGGGGATGTGGAACTTGAGTTTGTCACATGCATAATATATTGAGACGATTCAAGGAAGCTTTCAGTTTTCACGGCCGAGCCGCATGGATTATCAACCTTTTCACCGGATATCTAAACGACAAGGCAAGACGGGAAATCAACAAAAAAGTGAGTGATAATAAAGAGCTGACTTCTATTGCAGTTTTAAGAGTTTGAACATTTATAACAAAATTGATGGTTGATAAGTTACACTTTCGACGAGTGGTAGATCTCTAGAAATCATGTAATCTATATTTCCACCCTCACCACCCCCTATCCAACACTCCACCACTACCTCACCACCTCCTACCC